AACCATATATCGCAGCTCATGTCGTGTCACCACGGTGTTACTAGCTTTTTTGTCGTCTCGTGAAATCATTCCTTCCACGTCGTGGGTATTGCCATGCTGGTAAGCCATAATGGATAAGGAGCATTCTTTTGATTGTATTCGAGGCTGCTTCTAGAGGATTTTGCTGGATCGGTGGCATAATCCTTTCAATTTTCTAACTTAGCACGTCTCGAGAATAATCCACATAGTATCACATCGCCACTGGACAATTCCATTTTTGACTTGCGTTCCTCAGTTAATTTCGCTTTCAATATGAATATATATATATATATATGTGTGTGTATATATATATATATTAATCTTTTATATGAAGTCCCTGTTTTCCAATAGATCCCCACATACAGCCGTGTCGTTTCTGTTCTCTGACTCTGCTTCATCCATTCCTCAGCAATGGAGATTACTATCATTCTCTCCCTCATATATTCCATCTTCGTTTGCCTTGCTTTAGGCGCGAGGTGCAGCGATGTTTACAGCCGACACGATTTCCCTGAAGGATTCGTCTTTGGAGCTGGCACTTCTGCTTATCAGGTTTGTTCTTCATCTCCAAATACATTATTCCTATTGGAGTCTTCAAATGGTTGATTTGATTAAAGTTGGATGAAAAATGGTTGGGGTTTGAAAGTGGGAAGGAGCTGCTAATGAAGATGGAAGGATGCCTAGCATCTGGGATACTTTCTCTCACTCTCGTAAGCCTTTCACTCGCTTCATATATACACACGTGCATACGTATGTAAGTAAAGGAAAATCTTTTTGAAGACCTCAATTACTGTAAAACATCTTGTGAATATCTTATGTGATTTTTCACGTTCGAAGCATCAAGCTTTAAGTGCAAGTTTAGATCTTTGTTCATTCATCCGACTGTTGTGCTCAAACCGGACGAGTAACCAACCTAATGGGTGTTTGGAGTGAGTCTCTCAAGAAAACATGAGCCAATTGTTGGCTCTTGTCTAAGATTTTCCGGATCTGTTCTTTGTTTATTTTTCTCGTGGCATGGATTAGATCAATGATGTTTATATGTTCATTAACAGATTGTTTAACATGTTGATGGCGACAATGACTTGCAGATAAAGTAGACGGAGTTGATGAAGCTTGCGATGGGTATCACAAGTACAAGGTTGTCCCCTTGTGTCCCCCAAAAGCTCTCTTACTTTCATACACATATTGGCCATTTTCCTTATATGGAGACATTAGTGTGTGATATTCTTCAGGAGGATGTGCACCTGATGGCAGACATGAGCTTAGACGCTTACAAATTCTCCATCTCGTGGTCGAGACTCATACCCTGTACGATTCCTGAATTCTTTCATTCCTTTCTTGTTTCGTCATTGAATGATTTTTTGTAAACTTTGGAACACTTTTTTTTTTGTTTGGTCTTCAGATGGAAGAGGACCCCTCAACCCAAAGGCTCTACAGTTCTACAAAAACCTTATCAATGAACTCATAAGTCATGGTGAGTTTCAACTTCTTGTTATATTTGGTCCTTGGAGTTGTCTGAAAAGTTTTTTATAAGTCATGGTCTTTTAGTCTGCTAATGAATCGTTTTAATCAAGCTTATAAAAATGAGGTTTTTAATTGGAAACTATAGATGGTTTAACTATTGAAAATTGTTGAAAAGTAATGGTCCGTTCACAACTACAACAGGGATTGAACCCCACGTTACATTGAACCACAATGATCTCCCACAAGCTCTTGAAGACGAGTATGGAGGATGGCTGGACCGTAAAATCATGTACAGTCAACAATCTGAATTGATCAGTATTACCATATGTTTGCCTTCTTTTGGTAGATTTAATAAGCAATGATGAAATGAGTGGATGTTACCGTGATTTTCTGTTGCAGCAAAGACTTTACGGCATATGCAGACATTTGCTTCTCAGAGTTCGGGAACGATGTGAAATTCTGGACCACGATCAACGAGCCCAATATATTCGTTCTGGGAGGTTATGACTCGGGAATGCAGCCACCTGGTCGTTGTTCAGTCATTTGCGCCAGAGGAAATTCTTCAACTGAACCATACATTGCAACACACAACATACTGCTTGCTCACGCCTCTGTTGCCAGATTGTATAAGCAAAAGTACAAGGTTGAATGCTCAAGTTTAACTAAATTTCTCTCCTCTAGTGTATATGGGATGTTAACCCAATGGTGACTTAGGAGTAATTTACACAGGATCAGCAGCGAGGCTCTGTAGGCATAAGTGTATATGGGTTCGGGGTGCTTCCGTTTACAAACTCCAAGGATGATGAATTAGCGACCCAGAGAGCCAAAGATTTATTATTTGGCTGGTAAGTCAAATTCAACATTTTCATTTTCAGAAACTTACTGGGTTTGAGGCGATGACAATGAAAAGAACTGCATTTTCGTTGGTAGGATACTGCATCCCTTAGTGTATGGGGACTATCCAGATGGAATGAAGGGACTCGTCGGTGACAAACTGCCAACTTTCTCGGAGGACGAATCAGAACACGTGAGAGGCTCGTTGGACTTCATAGGAGTTGTCCACTACACGTCTGTCTACATCAAACATGCTGATAAACCCTCTCCTTTCAGCAATCTCCTGTCAGAGTTTGGTGTAGATATTATCTGTATGCTTTTCATCTCCTCGTTTCTTTTTAATTCAAGCACTAGTGTTTTGTGGACTCTTTTAGCTGATTGTCAGTTTCACGTTGGTGACAGTCATCGGGAATTCTTCCTTGGTGGAGGTAAAAGTCACTGGACCAACATGAAAGCTGTTAAACTTCTTTTTTTTCCTTGTTCAGGGTAAGTTTCCTGACATTGGGTTCTTGATTAATCTTTGCACAGTATCAGGTCTTCCCATGGGGTCTGGAAGAAGTACTGGAGTATCTAAAGCAAACATACAGCAATCCTCTCATCTACATTCTCGAAAACGGTCTTTCTTCTTGCCTCTCTGTTCTTTTTCGTTTTTGGATCCCCTGTATTCAATTGACTCGAGACAAGCAGGTAAGCCAATGAAGCACAATTCGTCGCTTCATGACACAGCAAGAGTGGAATATATTCATGGCTATATAGGCGGTGTGCTCAACTCTGTGAGGTACCCCTTTTGTTTTCTTCCTGAACCGAGAAAATCTCGATTGGCCGGTCGATGTTTACTCATGAGAAAACACGGATTTTATGGTGTAGGAATGGATCGAGAATCGGAGGATACTTTGTATGGTCATTCATGGACTTGTATGAGCTGCTGAGCGGTTTCGAGTACAGCTTCGGGTTGTACCATGTAAATTTCAGCGACCCGAATCTGAAGAGATCTCCCAAGTATTCCGCCCATTGGTACTCCTCACTTCTCAAGGGAATGACTGTTAGCTCACACTCTATCATGGAGCTTCATAGAAACTACTCCATAGCTTATTACGGTCACTCTTCTCTGTAGACTGTAGAGTGATTGTTCGCTTGGGTTGGGAAAAAAAAATACTTTAGGTTCAAATATATGCCCTATGTGAAATATGTGCTTTTTAATTCGACGGCCCATTACCTTCCTCTCTTCGTAGGTCCAGCACTCCTGTTTTATTTCTTTATTTATTTATTCCTTTTCCAATTATTGCCCATCAGTGGTTCTGGCCACTCGTGATATATAAGTGTTCATCATATGTTGGATTTTATTTTTTGTGGGGCCGAGTGGCCTTGGATAACTTGCTCCCAGATCCGGAATCTTGATCTCCGAGTAGCGACACGAGGAGAAGACGAGAAAAACAAGCCACAGAATGATGTGTGGCGAAATATCATTACCGATCAAGCCATACCTATGAATTTACTTGTTCTTCTGCAAGAGCACACAGTCGTCTCGGGCACTGCTTCATCCATTCCTCAACAATGGAGATCATTATCATTCTCTCCCTCGTGTATTCCATTCTTTTTGTTTGCCTTGCATTTGGCGCGAGATGCAGCCATGTTTACAGCCGACACGATTTCCCAGAGGGATTCGTCTTTGGAGCCGGAACTTCTGCTTATCAGGTTTGTTCTTCACCTCCAAATCATCACGTACATTGTTCTTATTGGAGTTTTCAAATTGGGCGATTCGATTAAAGAAAAATGATTGGGGGGTTTGGTTTGAAAGTGGGAAGGAGCTGCTAATGAAGATGGAAGGACGCCAAGCATCTGGGACACTTTCTCTCACTCTCGTAAGCTTCACTCTCTCACTCACACATGCACATGTGATATGTATGCACGCAAAGGTGGAACTTTTTTATTTATTGAGAAGATATTTTTGAAGACTTCCAGATTATGGTAATCATCATCTTGTGAACATTTTATATGACTTGCAGATAACATGGACGGAAGTGATGAAGCATGCGATGGGTATCACAAGTACAAGGTTGTCCCCTTCTGTGCTCTCAAAGCTCTCTTAGGTTCATGTCCGTATTGGCCATTTTCTCATTTGGAGAGATTACCGTGTGTGTGATATTCTGCAGGAGGATGTACAGCTGATGGCAGACATGGGCTTAGACGCTTACAAATTCTCCATCTCCTGGTCGAGACTCATACCCTGTACGACTCCTTAATTCTCTCGTTCCTTTCTTGTTTCGTCATTGAATTGATGTTTTTTTTTTACCTTTGGAACACACTTTTTGTTTGATCTTCAGATGGAAGAGGACCCGTCAACCCAAAGGCTCTACGGTTCTACAAAAACCTTATCGACGAACTCGTAAGTCACGGTGAGCTTCACCTTCTCGATACATTTGGCCCTCAGAGCTGTGATGAAGGGATTATGGTCTTTATGAGTTGCTTAGTCACAATCTTTCCCTCTCCTTTTTTTAAAGGTTTATGGTACAACTATTGAAAATCACTGAAGTAATGAACCGAACATAACTGCAACAGGGATTGAGCCACACGTTACTCTGCACAACTATGATCTCCCTCAAGCTCTTGAAGACGAGTACGGAGGATGGCTGGACCGCAGAATCATGTATGTTCTACACTCTGAATTGATAAGTATTACCATATACATACCTGCTTTCTTCAGTAGATTTAATAAGAAATTAATGGATGTTACCGTGATTTGCTGCTGCAGCAAAGACTTTACGGCATATGCAAACGTTTGCTTCTCTGAATTCGGGAACAATGTGAAATTCTGGACGACGATCAACGAGCCCAATATATTTGTTATGGGAGGTTATGACCAGGGACTAGCACCACCTAGTCGTTGTTCAGTCAATTGCGGCGGAGGAAACTCTTCAACCGAACCATATATCGCAGCTCATAACATACTGCTTGCTCACGCCTCTGTTGCCAGCTTGTATAAGCAAAAGTACAAGGTTGAATGCTCACGTTTAACTAAATTTCTCCTCTACTGCATATGGGATGGTAACCCAATGGTGACTTAGGAGCAATTTACACAGGATCAGCAGCGAGGCTCCGTAGGCATAAGTGTATATGGATTTGGAATGCTTCCTTTTACCAACTCCAAGGATGATGAATTAGCCACCAAGAGGGCCCAAAATTTCCTCTTTGGCTGGTAAGTCAAATTCAACGAGTTTCAGAGTTTTCAATTCTCAGAAACTTACCGAGCTTGAGCTTCGATGACAATGAAAAGAACTGCGTTTTCATTGGTAGGATAATGCACCCCCTAGTGTATGGGGACTATCCAGATGAAATGAAGAGAATCGCCGGTCCAAGGCTGCCAACTTTCTCGGAGGACGAATCAGAACACGTGAGAGGCTCGTCAGACTTTGTAGGAGTTGTCCACTACACGTCTGTCTACATTAAGCACGCTGATAAACACTCTCCTTTCAGCAATCTCCTATCAGAGTTTGGTGTAGATATTATCTGTATGCATTTCATCTCCTCTTTTTTAATTCAAACACTAGTAGTTTGTGGAATCTTTTTAGCTGATTTTCCGTGTTTCACGTTCATGACAGTCATTGGGAATTCTTCCTTGATGGAGGTATAACAACATGAAAGCTATAAACTTTTTTTTTCCCCTTCTTCAAGGCTAAATTTCCTGATACCGGGTTCTTGGTTAATCTTTGTGCAGTATCAGGTCTTCCCATGGGGTCTGGAAGAAGTACTGGAGTATCTAAAGCAAACATACAGCAATCCTCTCATCTACATTCTCGAAAACGGTCCTTCTTCTTGCCTCTCGCTCTCTGTTCTCTTCCTTTCAGTTCTCTTCTTTTTTGGGTTCCCTGTTTTCACTTGACTCGAGACAAACAGGTAAGCCAATGGAGCACAAATCTCCACTTCATGACACGCCAAGGGTGGAATACATTTCCAGTTATATGGGGGCTGTCCTCAACTCTGTCAGGTACTCCTTTTGTTTTCTTCCTGAACCGAGAAAATCTCGACTGGCCGGTCAATATGGAAACGGTTGGTTACTCATGACCAAACACGGGTCTTATGGTGTAGGAACGGATCGAGAATCGGAGGATACTTTGTATGGTCATTCATGGACTTGTTCGAGCTGCTGCAATCCTCTCATCTACATTCTCGAAAACGGTCCTTCTTCTTGCCTCTCGCTCTCTGTTCTCTTCCTTTCAGTTCTCTTCTTTTTTGGGTTCCCTGTTTTCACTTGACTCGAGACAAACAGGTAAGCCAATGGAGCACAAATCTCCACTTCATGACACGCCAAGGGTGGAATACATTTCCAGTTATATGGGGGCTGTCCTCAACTCTGTCAGGTACTCCTTTTGTTTTCTTCCTGAACCGAGAAAATCTCGACTGGCCGGTCAATATGGAAACGGTTGGTTACTCATGACCAAACACGGGTCTTATGGTGTAGGAACGGATCGAGAATCGGAGGATACTTTGTATGGTCATTCATGGACTTGTTCGAGCTGCTGAGCGGTTTCGAGTACAGCTTCGGGTTGTACCATGTAAACTTCAGCGACCCGAATCTGAAGAGATCTCCCAAGTATTCGGCTCATTGGTACTCCTCATTTCTCAAGGGAATGACTGTTAGCTCACACAGTCTCAGTATCACACAGCTTCATAGAAACTACTCCTCTTCTCTGTAGAGTTGATATCGCTTATCAGGCTCTCTTAGTTCTCTTCCTATAACAGTTACATGATATGTATATGGAATTTTGTTCCAACCTCTTAACAAGTAAAAGTCCCATAGTTTACATCGCATTTTTGAACTATTAAGCCAATGAGAAAAGAAAAGCCTGAACAGCTTTAACGCCAAGGTCTGTAGAGTTAGTTATTCGTGCTTTGGAGGGAAGGAGGGATCATGGTAAGGATTGTCTGAAGGAGCAGACCAGAGACCGAACAGGATGAGGAAGTGGAGGCATAACAGCACAAAGGACGAGAATGCCGTCGAAGGATACACGTTCCAACACAACTCCACCCCCACTAACACCACCAAACTGAAAAACACGAACAAAAATATTCAATGGAGAGACAACATAACAAGTCACAGAATAACGATAGATAGCGGTAACAAATGTTTTACCGCAGCAGAGACGGGAACGGAGTTTTCCATAGCAGATAAGGCAACGAGTAGAAGTACCTGCCCACAAGTGAACAAATATTTCCGGTCAGTCAATCCATTCTATTGTTTCTTTATCGGTCATGGTGGTGGCTTCTGCACTTACCATGAGTAGAATTGGTAGTGCAATGAGCGAGCACATACAACTCCGACAAAGTTCCCCACAAACATCGTCGTCACAATATCTGATAGATCGATTATTATATATATATATAATAAAACTGTCAAATTAGCCTTAGAGAACAATTAAAACAAAAATACAATGCATGGTATGGTATGGTAGCATCATAGGAGCTTACGTTCTTTCTTGAGGACAAGTGAAGTGGAGGCATCAGATAACGAAAGCGAAGAGGGCATCCTCATGAAGAAATGCCTAGAACGCATAAAGCTCAGAAGTCCGCCTTCAAACCTTGGAAATAGTTACTACAGGTGAAAAACCTACAGTGATACGATACAGAAATGATCCAGAAAAATGAGAATGGTGACTGCACAAGTTTGCACTTACTTGCACCATTTATAATTTGCAAACACCAGGAGGAGGCAAAGATGAGTGATCAGCAAGCAGACCGCAAATTCCTTTGACACAAAAACTCGTTCGGGAACAAATTTAAAGTTAACAGACCTGTTTGCAATGGAATGGACGTTATGAAGCAAATTCTCTGCACTTTTCTTTTTTTTAAACTTCTGAGAATTAGGAGAATGCGAGCTCATGATTTGACCAACTAACGGAAAGGATGAGATTTAGCTAGCTGGAATAAAATATTACCAGAAGTGAATGAAGACACGCCCAAGGTCAAAAGCTTTCGATATGTAAGCAACCGGATATGAAATCAAAAAGGGTAAACCCAGAAGAATCTGCACAACCATTCATCATCGAAAGTTTCTTACATGACCAATGCCTTTAACAAAATAGTAACTTGCTAGTTACTGGAACTCACCTATTCACATTGAAGAAATAATTAACATGTTTCCAAAACATTGGGCTAATGAATTGCAGAAATTTGGTAAATGAGACTTCCAAAGGGATCAGTGAAAACCTGTACAAGGGCCGCACCGGCTAAAGCTGAGACCACACCGATTATACTCATAGCCTGCCATTAGTAAAACTTCATTCATCAAGAACAACTGTTTGGAAAATAATAAAGTTGATTCATTTCTAGATGTACTTAAACAAATATAAATAAACCTTAAGCAGCAGTAGTAACAACGGTGGAGCATATAGTAGTACATTCATCTTCACTGAAACAGCACCGCTGTAGAAATTGGAAAAGAAGACAAGCTGATCACTTTACATCTCAATGCTAAAGCAAAAAGATGTTATATGTAAATGCAATAACCGACCTGAAAACAAGCAAACCGAGATGCCATTTCCGATAGAGAAAGAGGGCCATTGATGCATGAAGGAGAGTCATCGCAAAACAATCATTAAAGAGACGGAGCACAAAAATAGAGTGTATTCTTTTGGACAAGCACAATAGGCTAAGCGCCCACCATGGGACCTGCAATGCATTTAAATTCATAGGAAGGGAAGGCGCCATTAGAGAATAGAGGTAAGTAGAAACCCGATCCACGATATTTTAATAATGAGCAACATTTAACCCAGCAAATAGAGTTTTTGAAATGCTAAGGGGCCTGAAATCACCATATATCATTTGTGCGTATCTCCAAAAAAAGAGAAGCAATTAACACCAAGAGATTCTTTCTCCAAATTAAGTTCATGTGAATGGGATAATTCTATACCACGTCGGTCTTGACATAGATGAACAAGACAATCGCAAGATTGACGATGTAGAGAACACCGAACAGAATCTGCAGAAAGGAGAGAGCAAAACAGATTAATTTATGGGATTGCTCAAGTTCAACAGGGGGATCATTTTCCAACATTAGAGCCCGATTAGCTGACACATAGCAACTCATATCATACAAGAACAACCAAATTCAATCCTACATGAACCTACATTTTTCATCATGAGCTTATAATTGTAACAAATCAAGCGAATCCAAAGACAAGGAACTTCGAGTACCTGGGCAGGGGAGACATCGCCTCCAGTTATGTACTGCACTGCAGAATAAACATAGAGAAAGCCCGCCGGATAAACCAACGGTCCTGTATCGCCTTTCAAGTTCCCATAGTCTCTTTCTCCCCCTAAGAACCCACTTACCTGCTCCATTCAAATTCCTAAATTTTCACTAAGAAATTACTAAATGGAACAAAACCCGCTTGGTGGTTGGACTAGAGTCATCTTCACTAGGCTTTAACATCAGAACCCATAACCAAATCCAACATTTAAGTCAGGAACACGAACCTGTGACATGTAAGCGTCCCAATCGATCTTCGTGTCTGTTTGAAAAAAAATATATTAGATTAGGATCACAGCCAATCCACATTTCTCCAGTGAGAAAGGAAGTTCTGGGATTTCTTTTTGAATCTTACACGGGACGTAGACAATGATGAGAGCGACGAGGACGGCATCGGCGAGGAGCAGAAAGCAAGCGAAAGCAACGGGTAGTTTCGGGTGTTTGAGCAGATCAGAGACAGTAGATTTCCGTCCATGTCGGCGGTTACGAGAGCTTTTCCGATGCGCCTCCCGAGCCGCCGGTGACGAAGTAGACGCCGTGACCGCCATGAATTTGACCTCGAACCAAACCAAATCGCATCTGCGACAGCACTTCTCCGAGATCGAGATTAGCGTACGCCGCGAAACAGGCAATTCCATCTCTCCAAACTTTGCGATTAAAAAATTCGTTCAGAGCCCAAAGAGAAAAGCCCAAATTATTTATTCGGGCTTTTGAGCCCAAAATCTCATTTCACTTGATGGCCCTTTAAAACCCAACCAGCCCGACCAGATAGGATTATAGTCGTTATCAAATCATCCAACTCGATCACAACAAATATGCTTAGTCACCCAAAACTCCATCACCATGTCCACGTATCCCGCTTTCGCTCGTCTCGGAATCGATCACGTGTAATATGGCAAGAGTACATATCCTAAACATTCCCTGCTTGCCACGTGTCCACGCTCCTGTCCACTGTTCGCCCTTATTTCTCGCCACGTGTCCCTCTCCATCACGCCTTCGATCATTGAAAGCTCCTTTCTCTCTCTATAAACCCGTCTCCTTCGCAAACCTCTTTGACCATATTACTCTTTTTTTTCCTCTGTGCCCTTTGCTTTCATGGATCCTCAAGAACTCAGACGCCGCGGAGGAGACGAAAACGTCGCTACCGCCACGGAGGAGACGGAGAAAAAGAACAACGAAGATGTAAGCAAACGCGATAAAAAGAAGGCGATGGCCAAACGCGGCCTCAGATCGCTTGCCGTGGCGGTCACTCTACCAGCGCTCCTCACTCTCCTGATTAACTACTTCCTTGGCTCCGGCAACGGCTACGGAAAGGATGGTCGACCCTCGTGGTTCCCGCCCTTATGGGCCTTCCACGTCACGTGTCTAGGCGCGAGCTTTTTGATGGGCCTCGCTGCATGGCTCGTCTGGGTCGACGGTGGGTTTCACAGAAAACCCATAGCTTTGTGCCTTTACTTGGGCCAGGCGTTGTTGAGTATGGCTTGGGATCCTATTGTGTTTCGGGCCGGGTTGGGTTGGATCGGGTTGGCAGTTTGGGCGGGCGAGATGGCGGCGTTGTTTGGGTGTTACAGAGCGTTCAAAGGGGTCAATCCGGTGGCGGGTGATCTGGTAAAGCCGTGTTTGGCTTGGGCCGCGTTTGTGGCTGGCGGTTAGCTATGAGTTGAGATTTCCGACAAGTAAATTGTGATGTTTTTCGTTTCATACACTGATGTGCATACGGGTTATCTGCGTTCGGTGTTTGTGATTATATAAAATGAAGTATGTACAACCACATCCAATGAGAAAGTTTTTACCATATAAAAACTGTATGTATATATTTATACGAAAGCATAATGATCATCGAAGGCGTCCTTGATGGAACTACAAAACTGTTACACGAAACCTAGTATCTCAAAAAAAAAAAAAAAAAAAAAAAACAGAAAAAAAGTAGTTCTAATTCACACGCATCAGTCCGTCACCTTGACGGCCTTGAACGGAGAGTGGAGGAGCCCGAGCTCGTCCTTAACGTCGAGTGGACGGTCCGTCTCATTCCGCACGCGTTTGACCCTGCGGCTCGACAGCGACTTGTGGGCGAACCCGTATATCTGTAGAATCTGATTGTCCCCGAAATTGAACGCCCGGTCCATCTGCTTCAGACATCGTTCCACCGGGTAGTCCCCGAACTTACCGCACGGCTTGCACCCCACGAAATGCGTCACGAGCGGCCACCGATGGTCACCAAGCCCCGGGTGATAATTCTCGATCATTTCCTCGTATCGGTCGACCAGAATTCCCCAGTAGCCGTGCAAGTAATACGCGCTTTCTAAGTACACTTTGTCTCCCCACTTGTCTCGTTGCGTCGCGAGGAGGTATACCATGGCGGATTGATCGTCCGCCTCGAACACTGGTCGATCCTTGAGCTCCCGGGTCAAGATTTTACCTGCTTCTTCTCGGATCTTCCCTTTCGGACCCATCGGAGACCACGCGTCCAGGAGATCAAGCGCCCACTGGCAGTTTCGTAATAAGAAACTTCCGGTGTTCAGACCGATCCAGTTCTTCTGATCGTAGATCATCTCGTTCCAGCCGTGCATTACGAGGTTGTAATCCTTGTACCTCTCCCATGGCAGCTCAAACGCCATGTCCGTGAACATCGCGTCACTGTCCATCCACCACAAGAATTCGATCTCCGGATGAGATAGGAGGAGCTTCCGGATCAATGGAAGTTTCGCCCAGAATCCCGCCATCTCCGCGTCGAACAGGGCCATGTTGTAGAAAATCTCGATGTTGTGCAATCGGCAATAATCGATCTTGTTCTTAATCGATTTCAGGAGGTAATGGTCTCCGACGGGATTCTCGCACGGTTTGGGAGACGAACCGGTGACGAGAAGAACACGAGGCTTGTTCGGCGCGACGAAGTTTGGGAAATTTGGATTCCGTTTCAGCCATTCTGATCTCTGCTCGTCCCAATTGGAAATCTTCGGACCGAGAGAATACGGCTTGTTGGGGTCGGTCTTCTCTTCTTCTCCCTCATCGACGAAGATCTTGTTGATGTCCAAGGTCTCGTAGTTATTGCCATTCCCATTCCCATCGGAGGAAGACGTGGTCTGGGTGGAGACCTCGACGAGAACGCGATGAGGCTCGGCGCGCTTGCGAGGGTGGAAGAAATGCTCGCGAATCTCCACCAGGTCCTGCTCCGGCGTACCGAACTTTCCAGCGCCGATGGTACCACGTAGGACGACGACGGTGAGAACCAGGCAGAGAATCGTCACCTTCCCATGACGTAGGGCTCTATGAATCCTCCGACACCGCTGCGCTCCCAGACATCTCTCAATCATCTTCTTCTTCTTCTTCTTCTTGTTCGATCAAGATCCGGTCCCAATTCCGACACAGAGAAAAATGTAGAGAGAGAAAACAGAAAGAAAGGAAGAAGCAGGAATATGCGCGTTTAGAATTCCCGGAGAAGGGAAGGAGGATCAAGCCATCAACGAAGAGAGACGGAGAAATAATTAGTATCTAAAAAAACATTACATGAATATTTAAATATTAATTTTCACACGACTCGCTGCGAGATTTCCGATTCTGAAATAAATAAAATAATTTCATGATAATAAAAAACCAATCTTTTTTAAACCTATGAAATGCCCGACAGTACATGCTCGCCTGTCTGGTTTAGCGGCCGTGACTAGATCATTCTCCTGCCTTTTCTGACCAGATTCGTATGGGCCGTTGATTTTGATCTTATATACAAAACCTTAATTTGGGCCGTTTTATACGGTTACTTTGGCAACATATTTTTTTTTATAAGTTGTCGATATTCAATTGAGCCCGTATGAGCCCAATATCAGATATGGGCTTTGATGGCATTTAAAGTATCGGCCATACTATGCGCCCAATGGAGGGGGCCGACATAGCCCATACAATTTCGTCACGTTGGAAAATGAAACCCTGTCCTCGAAGCCCGTGCCAGTCGATTCGCCGCGTCTAGAAAATCGCGCCACCCTAGAACAGCCTCATCTCATACCCTGCCACGTGTCCATCAACGGTCCAATTATATTTTGACATGTGTAGCACCGACACCTGTCACTGTTCCCTCTGCTCTTCACGAGCCAATCTCCTCTCGCTTAAGCTAAAAGGCTCGTACACCTTGCCACGTGGCTGACCAGGATAGACCACAGCCGTCGATTCGCAAGCAATGGTCTCAGGCACCGTTCTTTTATAAAGACGAGTTCGTTGTTCCCTGACTCTTCTCTTGCAAAAAATTCGAGAATGGAGGAACCAGTTACCGCAGAAGAACAATTTCAACCCGTAAGTCTTCTTCTCCTCCCCCTACTTCCATGGTGTAACAGTAGGTACTGATTTATTGCGATTTGCGTTCATGTTCGGAAGGTGGAAGATGATGAGAGGATGCTGAAGCACTTGGAATTTGTGCAAGTCGCCGCGATCTACGGTGCCGTCTGTTTCTCGACACTTTACGAGTTTGCGAAGGAGAATGCAGGTCCGCTCAGGCTCGGAGTAGAGAACATCGAAGCCTCTGTCCGAACTGTTCTCTCACCTGTCTACGATAAATTTCACTCTGTCCCTTTCCAGCTCCTCAAGTTCGTCGATCGCAAGGTTCATTTCCATTGCGTTTCCTATTTTTAATGTGGAAATCAGGGAATTCCGTAGGGTCTGACGGAGACGCGCAGGTGGACGATTTCTTCAACGAGGCGGATATATACGTGCCGTCGCTGGTGAAGCAAGCGTCAAGTAACGCGATGGCGGTCGCGACGGAGGTGCAACGCGTCGGCGTTGCGGACGCGGCGAGGAGCGTCTTCGATAAGATCGAGCCCGTGGCGGAGCAGTACGCGGCGGCGGCGTGGCGGTTGATGAACAGACTGCCGCTTTTCCCGGAACTTGCTCAGGTGGTGGTCCCCACGGCGTCGTATTGGTCGGAAAAGTACAACGGGGCAGTTTGTTACGCCGGAGAGAGAGGTTACCACGTGGCGGAGTATCTGCCGTTGATTCCGATTCAGAAAATCGCGGAGGTTTTCGAGGATGATCGGAGTGGCGGACCGAGTGGCTCCACTTCCACCAATGGCAAAATGGCGGTGTCTTATTAGCGAGAATAAAACGCCGTCGTTTCGTCTATGGGCTTGGAATGTAGCGTTTCGCATTTTGAGCTGCGATTTGCCATTCATTCTATAATAACATTTAATAGTTCAAAATGTTATCGTATAATCTTGAAAAACCAGCATTTGGGTCGTGACGTTTCGAAGCGGTTAAGGATGAGATCTTTTGTTCCGATTGCACTGAACATCAGGCAGGTTCGTTCAATGGCTAAGCAGAAGCATCATACCCAACTCCGAACAATCTCTAATATCAACTAATATATAACCAGGTGAACCAAAAAAATATTAGATCGTCGGCGTCTCTGGAGGTCCCCAAAAAAAGAATGGAAAAAAAGGCAGCCATGGAATGCAAGAATATCCGTAGCGACAGTGTCTGTCGTTCAGGCGGTTTCTCTGAGACTGGACGACAAAGGCGCTTGAAGTCCAACCGGCCATCCTCGCCACCCGTCCACCCGAATATCTCTCCGACTCCCTCTGGCATTTTCACAACACTCCTCACCACGTTCATGTGACCTCCTCCTCCCAAGATGGCTTCTGGGGACCCGATCGAAGATCCAGATCCCGTGTAATCTTACGGGGGAATAACCGACGGTACACAAGGTCGTCCCTCCAATCACCCATAAGTTTTTGCCTCCGGAGCAATGGCAGTGAATGAAATAATCAGCCTGCAAATGGGTATAGAGAAAAGTTACATCTTGAAGAAAAAAACAGATATCATTAAGCTGCCCGTCTACGAAGTGCGGGAACCCATACGTGATCTTGTGTCCAATTATTTGTCAGACACCGTAGCTTTAGATAGCAATCTCCTATGAAACCTATTTTCCCGATAGAAGTCCCCACCTTCATTACCTGAGAAGTTGACTTAGCATTTCCATCGATCAATTGATGTGTTGGAAAAGTAAAAAAACACAATACAGAAGCTTGAGACCAGAGAACCGAAGATCTTGGATTCAAAACTTACAGATTCAAGATTATCATCATCATTGACATCTCCTTCAATGTCAAATACACAAATCAATCCATCTTCAGAAGCTCAGAGAAGCTTTTGCGATTGTTAGGAGCGAAGTGTACCTGTGGGTTACCGATGAAATAGTGGTCAAGAACAAATGTGTGATAGCATCCGCAATTTGTTACAATAGAATTCACAGCATAATTTTGTGAACTAGTAGAGACCAGTTGCCATCATTTCCATTCCACTTGGGCAGAAATGAACTAAGCATGCTGACTGGAACGACTTTTCTTAGGCGTCTTTTTGGTCTTTGCTAAGATGTTCAGGGCAAAGAATGGAGACGATGATTACATAGACAACAAAAGTGAAACCTGAGTAACATCGTCCATGTGGGATTCCTCCAGACAAGCAACTTGCTTTCCGTTTCTCCAATCCCATAAAAGAACCTGCACTAACAATACAGCTTTCAATAACTCGGAATATCCGGTTTAAGGGGTAGGGAAACGACTCAGGACATCAGCCAGTACAGAAAGTGTCCCCCTTTCGAGTAACAGAGATGAAATACAATGTCGGGATTTAGATACGAAACCTGCTCTTTGCATCCACCAGCGAGAAGATTATCTCCAGACCCTCCAAATGAGAAGCTGAAAACCTCTTGCCTAGAGCCAGCTCATAATACACGAAACCTGAAACACAAGTGACGGAAACTAGGATTACCCAAACAATCCACAGATAAAACGAGCGTAATAAAACGGCATCAAAGCTAATACTTAGCCAAAAGTCTTGCCTGCTGGGAACTACGCGTGTCCCAAAATCTAATGGTCCCATCAGAGGAGCAAGAATGCAGGACATGATGAGTCGCCGCCTCCAAGGAAAACGCGTTTTGATTGATAGTATTTGAGTGACCTTTGAATTCACCGTAGTACTGACCAGTTACCGGCGAGTAAAGCTTCACAGTGTTGGTAGACAACGAAACCGCCATGGCCATCCAATCAATTCTGTTCCATTATTCGGAACAAAACAAAGAGCTGGGTTCTGTGACTTATGTCTCAGTACTAACACGTTCGTTTAGTTTCGGAACACAGGAAGAAGATTGAAAAGAAGATTGCTTGGGGACAATCTGGAAGACATAGTCTTGGCCTAAGTTGGTCGGAACGAAGTTCTTGAGGCCGAATTTCCTCGAATGGGTTCCGTTTCGATCCGAAGAAGAATCCAAAAGTGGACTGCTTTGGCCGTCCATTCCATATCTGACGCGCCTTCCATGTCTTCTTCTGGGTTCAGTTCCTCGCTCGTCGCCCGAGCATAGGGAGAAATTGAAAAGGGGGTTTAGGGTTTTTTCTAATCCAAAGGCATAACGAATCAGTGAACCGGAAGTTCAAGCCTTCAAGTTATCGTAAGATCCGACCCGAGTTTCAAGCCGGATCTTTATGGCCCATTTCACAAGGCCCATATTAATTTTAAATTAAAATCCAGCTGTAAGCCCTGTTGTAACAAGAAGCTGATCTCCTCTCTTTTCTCCTATAATCGAAGGGGAGAGAGAAAAAAAACGTTTCTGTCAATAATATATAACCAAAAAATCTAGATTCAAACGGTAAATAGTTGGGACAACAAGAAAATCCATTACTAGCAACCGGAAGTTACTTAATTATGAGTACCTAACAACTGTCTCTAGTTTTTTGTCGGAATTCGTTCTACAAATTTAGACAACCGGAAAACAAACCAAAGAGTGTCCGTTAATTATTTTTCCTATAAATTCCTCCGTGGGCTTGCATCTTCTTCACTTCACAAGAGGGGAAGAAAAATATATATATTTTTATTTAAAAAAATCCACGTAAAAAAAGATGGCGAAAACGTTAATAATAACAGGGGTGATATTGCTACTGTGTGTAATAGAATATGGAGAAGCAGCAGCAACGGAGTACGTGAAATACAAAGACCCAAAGGTGCCGGTGGAGGACAGAGTGGAGGACCTGTTGCAGCGCATGACCCTGGCCGAGAAAGTTGGCCAGATGTGCCAAGTCGACCGGAGCAATTACTCCCTCGCGCCTGGCCCTGGCTTCGTCCGCAAATACATGATCGGTGATTCCAAAATCAATTCCAAATTTACCTCTAATTAATCCGATCGATCTGTTTTATTTAATATAATAGGACGAATTTCAGGGAGCATATTGAGCAATCCGTACGACACGGGGGCGAATCCGGCAATGAGGATGGGTCTGGCTAATACGATCCAGCAAGAGAGTCTCAGCACAAGGCTGGGGATCCCGATCATTTACTCGGTGGACGCCGTCCATGGCCACAGCACTTTCATCAATGCCACCGTTTTCCCCCACAACGTTGGCCTTGGAGTTACTAGGTAATATCCGTATACCAACTACGCATAAATGTACGGTCGTATCCTTATACCATATGCACGTACGACGATGATATACAGAGTGAACGAATATGTGTTATGTTGTTTTTAGGGATCCTGAGCTTATAAGAAGGATTGGAGCTATCACGGCGGAGGAAGTGAGGACAACGGGAATTGCTCAAGCCTTTGCCCCTTGTGTTGCGGTAAGTCAGTTGTTGTTGTTTTACTTTATATGACATATATATATAGAGGGAGAGAGAGAGCAAGCAATATATATACAAACATATATGGATGGTTGATGAAATGTGTATATACATATACATATATATATATGGATGGAAAAGGTGTGCCGAGATCCAAGATGGGGAAGGTGTTACGAAAGCTACAGCGAAGATCCTTCGATTGTGAATATGATGACAGACATCATCGATGGCTTGCAAGGAAAAGTTCCTCAGGAACTCCAAGGCCGTCCGTTCCTAGCTTCCCCGTAAGCCAGCAACTACATATACATATATACACACACTCACTATATACATTGATAAAATAATGTTAACCTAATTTCACATACGATTAATAATTGAAAGGAACAATGTGGGTGGTTGCGCAAAACACTTCGTGGGAGACGGAGGAACAGAAAAGGGCATAAACGAGATGAACGCAGTGTTAGACAACCGTACATTGTACGATATACACATGCCGCCATTCGAGCTGGCCATCAAGAAAGGCATCACATCCATTATGGCTTCTTTCTCCAGCCTCAACGGCGTGAAGATGCATGCCAACAAACCCTTGCTCACCGATTACCTCAAGAACACCCTCAAATTCCAAGTCAGTCCAATTATCTCACTCTTTCC